GTGAAGGTTAGTAGAGAACTTTATGTAGTAGATTTTCTCCTTTCTCCTTTACATAAGTTCTCAGGATTATATTTAGGTGGCGAGGCTTGTGTGGCAAGTGCCTTTACCAGCTGAGCCATCATACTAGTCCATGAAGTGGTTTTAATATTGAAAAAGTTATAAGCTAATAAAAATATAGAAAAACAGCTGATAAAAATGACCTTGTAAAAAGGACCTTATGACAAGTAAGGTGATACTAAGATTGAAAGGCGATGGCTGCTAGTCATCTGCTATTTATGGTAATAAGGAAGAAGATAAATTTTAAGGTAAGCCTTGAATAGAAAACAGATTTTGATGCCCAATGATAAGAAGAAGTAAGAGTGATAATGACTAATAATTATTTTAAAGATAATAATTTGCTTTTGGCTAGCAGAACAACTAAGATGAGCCAGAACATTAATCCTCATTACTTTAACAGTTATGCAATGTAAATATGATTTTTTTATTGTTTAAAAAATTGGGAACAGAATAATGAATGTAGCAAAGCTCACAGAAAGTAAAAAGTAGGCAAATCTAAATTCTAACCCATTTCTGTTTAGTATAAAACCAAGTACTCTTTTTACTATTTAATGTTATATTCAAATAAATGTGGAAATCTCATAATTGAATTTTTCTTTACAGTTGAATACACCTGCATATGTTTCTTGGTGCATGCATACCACATTTTCATTATCTATCCATCCACTGAGGATCATTTAAGTTGTTTCTATTTTCTAACTATTATGAATAAAGCATCAATGGACATGGCTGAGCAAATATCTATGAAATAGAATCTTAGATCCTTTGAGCATATTCCAAAGAGTGATGTAGCTGTGTCATGTGGAAGATGTGCTTTTAACTTATTAAGCATTCTCTATACTGATTTCTATTGAGGGTTCACCAGATTGCAATCTCAAAAATAGTGAATGATGTTTCCAGTTTCCCCACTTTCTCCCCTGTATTCTCAGCTGTTTTACAGATTTTAGCCATTCTAACTGGATTTAAGATGAAATTTCAAAGCAGTTTTAATTTGCGTGTCCTTAATGCTAATGATGTTGAACACTTTTTGAGATATTTCTTAGCCATATTAATTTTTTTCTTTTGAGAACATTCTGTTCAAATCCATAGCCCATTTTACTTGGCTCATTTGCTCTCTTGACTCTTGATTTTAGGGTTCTTTATATGTTCTAAATATTAGTTCTTTATTAGCTGTGTAGCTGGCAAAGATTATCTTCCACTCTGTGTGTGTGCTTCTTCATTAAGCTGATTATTTCTTTTGCAGGAGATTTTTAGTTTTATGAAATCCCACTTGTCAAATACTGGCCTTAATTTCTGAGGGACTGGAGACCTAGTCAAAATGTCCTTTCCTAAACCTATATCATGTAGGTACTGCTAATGAATTCTTCACTCAGTTACCATATTTTGGGTTTCACATTGAGGTATTTGACCATTTGTAGTTGATTTTTGTCCAGATAAATATAGGTCTCATTTCATTCTTCTACATGTGGAGATGCACTTTTTCAGCACCATTTGTGGGAAATGTTATCTTTTCTCTATTGTGTATTTTTGGCATCTTTGTCAAATAACCGGCAGCTATACTTACATTTATTAATATTTGGGTACTCTACTTTGTGCCATTGATCAATGTCTCTGACTTTGTGCCAGTGCCACACTGTTTTTATTACTATCCCACTGTAACATAGATTGAAATCTGGAATGGAAATCCTTCCAACACTGTTCCTTTCACTCAAGATTGCTTTGACTCTCTGAGGTATTTTGTAGTTTCATATGAGTTGAGGGATTATTTTTTTTCTATTTATGTGAAGAATGTTATGGGGATTTTTAATTGGGATTGGATTGAATCTGTAAATTGCTTTTGGCCAGCTCAATAGGCAAGAGTTCATGCCTAATACTATAAACCTAGCCATTTGCCCATGGCTGGGAAGGTTATAGACTTGAAGGGTGAATCCACTACTGCAGTTTTCCTAAGCAAATAATACTTTCCTAACTGTACTCTAAATATTTATCCCTACAGGTAAGTGGAGCCCTCATTCCTCATCAAAGAAGCTTCCTTCTGAAGCAGATGTAGACTATTATAGAGATCCATCACTGGTCAAAATGTATAGAGTACAGACTGTGAAGTCCAACCTCAATTGTTACATCTACAACAAAATCCCTATACCTCAGTCTTGGGTAAAATCATGGAAGGAAGGGAAGATTGTAAGAGCCACAAGATCAGGATTTCTGCTGTGAGATAGTGTCTTCTATAAATTACAGGAAAGCTGGACCCATGGACTCTCAGCAATATGGTTACCTTAACATGACCAACACAATGACCACACCAGTTGGCATGGCAACACTGACAGGAAATGTCACATGACCCTACCCCTACAGGAAGAGCTACAGGTGATCAGTGCATGCTGAGAAATGGAGATGCAATCTCCTCCAGTGACAAGCTTCCACATAGGTTGTCTAATTCCAAAAGGTCAGCCCTTGAACTCATGTACATAAGAGCAAAGATAAATGAACTCAGTGGGTTGTATATACCTTTGTATATAACTATGTATACACACACACACACACACACACACACACACACACAAACATGTATTTGTAACAATAATAACTAAAGAAGAGATCAAGAATTGGGACGGGGGAAACAAAGGAGGTGTTGGAGGAGGAAAGGGAGGGGCAAAAGTGATGTATACACAGTGATTATATAATACATTTTCAAAAAATAAAATTATTAAATAAAACAATCTAAGAACCAAATTTGACATCAGGTGTTTTCACAGTGGGTAACTTTAATTGTTATGGCTTTGAGAAAATATCAGAAGGGAACTAATATGCAGTTCAAAACTCAAATCCCCCATTCCAAAATATATAATCCACAGAGGTACATTACCTTGGATTATGCTGGGGATCGAAGCCAGTGCATCCTACATGCCAGGCAAACCTTCTAGACTGAACTGCATCACCAGTCCATGCAGGTGGGAAGAAGAACTAGTTCATCACTATAGGCTTTTCTGGTCTCTCGAGTTTCCATTGAAAAGTCAACTGTTCTCTAACTGGCTGCTGTTCCATGGGACTTGAGCCTTTTCTCTTGCTGCCTCCAGTTTCCTTTCCTCATCCTATAGGTTTATGTTCTAGATGTAATAAAGTGTGGGGTTTTTTTTGTTTTTGTTTTGTTTTGTTTTGTTTTTCTGGTCTGATCTGTTTGGTGTTCTGTGTGCTTCTTGAACCTGGATAAGCTTCTGTTTCCCTACATTTGGGAAGTTTTCTTTTATGATTTTATTGAAGGAATGTTCTATGCCTTTGACCTGGAGTTCTCATTTTTCTATGCCCACATTTTATAGATTAGACCTTCTCATGCTGCCCCAGAGTTCCTCTCTATAACGTTCATGAGGGTTGTTTTTTTTTTTAATTTATCATTTTCTTAATTGAATGATTCAATTCCTCTTCCTTGTCTTAGAGCCTTGATTTTTTTCAACTTATGACTTTTTAATTTCTAGCTTTGTTTCAGTTTGGGTTTTCTTCACTCATTTGACCTCTTAGCAAATTCAATTTTTATACCGTGAGTGCCCTCATCGTTTCACTAAGCATTTGCCTTCCTGGACTTCAATTAGGAGTTTATTCCTGTTCCCTTTCAGTTTATTCAGGTGTCTACTCATGTCCTCTTTGAACTTCTTGAACTCTTTGAACATGTTTATAATTGCTCTTTTGAATGGCTAATACTCTTCCCAGACGTCATAGATTCCCAAGTTAAAAACTCAGTGCCAGGTGTGGGATATGACTTTTTGAGGTGTCATTTGGGAGGCTGCAATGACTATACCCAATCAACGCAGGCTGTCGCCATTGTTCTTGGTAGTTCATAGAACTTAATAAGAAGCCGTGTTTACAGAACATGGAGAAATTAAGCTGGTATGGACCTGGAAACATCCTCCCCGCTGGCTTTCTTACACAGTGCTGGAAGGTGTTGTTCAGGCTGTCCTGCTCTGGGGGAAATGCCCTCAACTATCTTACCCAGCTGTGAACCCTCTGAACTACAATATTGTCTGGCCTGATAAGCTATAACCATGGACACAACAGTGGCATGAATGATATGGGGATAACCAACATCTTTCTAACTGGATCTAAGGCCTGCTTCATAGAGTAAGAATTAACCATAAATGGGTTGAATTAGATTGCTGCTTTGATTTAATGGTCGTTTTCTTCAAAACTCAGGTAAAAATTCCATTGCCATTATAACAGTGTTATGGATGGAGCTTTTAAGAAGTGACTAGGCAGTTAGTGTTCCACCGCATTGGGTGGGATCAATGCTGTTTGTTAAGAATAAGCTCTACCTGCTTTTAATGATGATGGTAGTTGTAAGTTCATGTCTGATTCTAGAAACTTAGTCTTTTGTCTCTAACCTCCGGAACTACAAGAGAATGTTCTTCATTGTAAAATTGTAGTTCGTCTCAGATATTCCAAATAATAATGCACACTCATGGAGAAAGAAGCTATAGAGTTTTGTGAGATTTTACAAACTTAAATGAGAGAAGAAGTTTGAAATGAGAAACTGAAATTCACTTTTAACATGGTCAACCCAAGCATTGGATGTGTCTCTGGTCCTTCCATGCTAAGTGACTGTGAGGGAAACAGTCTCTTCAATCAGTGAGATTTCTGTCTAGTTGGTGGAAGAAGGAAGCATGCACATCTCAGTGAGGGAAAAGTAGAACCTATCTCAAAATTAATGGGTTCCTCATGACACACTATGAGTACTATAAAAGACAGAAAATAGCAAATTTTTGGGCTTATATCAGATCACATGGCAAGACAGGACTTGAAGTTTTGAATTTCTAGGACTTACCTTGTAAGATGAAAATAAGGTGGGAGGGATGGCATTGGGGCTCCATACGGATTACATTTGACTGGCATTTATTGCTATGTTAGCCTATCTCTGCAGTGAATTTACCAATGGAAATTATCTCTTACTACAGAATTAAGGTAACTTAAGAGAGCTGAAGACGGAAGTGGAATGTTGGAGTTGAGCTGGACATGAAGAGGATCACTGCATAGATGTAAGACTTTTGGTGTTAAGAAAGGCCCCAGCAAGTGTCTGGCTTACAAAGCTGCTTTGCGCATATGAAAGAGACATGGAATGAACATGTTCCTATAGCTGAGTCGAGTTTTGCAGCTCAGATTACAAGTGCTTAGAATCCAGCAGTAGATGGAAGTGAGTAAAAGGAAGTCAAGCAGAAATCTTTCCTAGTTTTGTTTAGAGACAAATAATTCAATGTTTCTTCCTTTGTTTCTTTTGTTCATATTCACTGAGGGACTTTAGAAAACTGAGTTCTCTGTTAGCGCATCCAGTTCTAAAAAATAAGCAGTTGCAGAATATAAAAAGTGAAATGACTACTTTCCAATTTACTAAAGGAAAATTACTCTTAGAGAAGCAAATTATAAAACACCATGAGTATAACATAGCATGTTGGTTGACAAAATAAATAATGTTACAAAAATCTCTATGTAAGGAAAAATGATTCAGAAATCATAGAGCATGGTAACAGATGTGTAGCTAATGGTTTAATTGCAGAATAATTATCAAAAAATTGTAAAGGTTTCTAGGAGCAATGATTCCTAGATTGAGTCACAATATCCAAATGCATATCAATTACAAGAGTCATACATTAAAAAAAAAGTAAGTGATTCAGATTTTAGGAGTATTAGGAAAATATCTGGGTAAATGCAAAATATAGGAAATAGGACAGAATGTTATACATCTAAAACCAAGCAGATTTCTGAATAAATAGGTCGATATTATCTGCCAAAAAATAGGATCTATGAGGCAGATTGACTGCCATGGGAAAAAAATGTATTTGAATGTATTTTAAAGTTGAGAGTTCCATAAGCATTACTATTTGCCTAAATAGTTCTAGAGTAATTATAAATATTATTTTATCATTTCAATTAAGTTATTTTCAAAGAAAAATATCAGGTTATGAGGAAATATATTCAACACATTGGAGAGACTGGCTAATTGTTTGATAAACACATTTTCTTTCTGCTTGTGGGTGCACGTCTGAATATTTTCTCACTTCCTTGCACATGTATGAGGCCTTGTGGACTGAGCACCAGCTAGGGGAGATGGCAGTAACAGGAGCCACCTCTGAGTCTGCCTCTTAATCCCTCCATACGCCAACCCCTACACATATACTTCCTGTCCTGTGGGAGCACAGAAACTCTAACAGATGGAGCAGCCTGTACTGATATACTCATCATGAGTGGCTGTTATAGACATTCTGCAAACAACACCCATATTTCTATGGTGTTTTGGAGACTGGACTTTGTAACAACTTGCTTTACCTTAACTAATATAGACAGTGACCACAGTGTGTGTGTGTGTGTGTGTGTGTGTGTGTGTGTGTGTGTGTGTGTGACACAGAGGAGACACAATGTCAGAGAGACAGGGACAGACAGACAGACAGACAGAGAATACTGCTATGTGGTGGTCTGTTTCTGTACATACCACACTTTATCACAATTATTTGCTTCCCTGACTATAGGGATATATTGTTAAGTAGATACAAATAAAAATTAATTGTGTTTATTTTGGGGTGACAGTACCAAAGATAAATTGTGCTCTCACATTTATTCTTATTTTTCAGATTGTCTGGAAAGAACTTATGTTACATTTTAAATAAAAATATTGTCTTATCCAATTTTTAGACATCGAAAAAAACAAATCTCTTAAATATTCATAAGTACAGAGAAAGGCTTGTAGGTCATTGCTGACTTGTGAGTTTTAGGGCTTGAGGAGCTCACTGATTACAGGAAGGGGTAGGCATTCTGTTCTTCATTCATCAAACACTGAGTGTAAACCATTTGCCCAGTTCCAGCCAGACACAGAAGACATCCTTCTTGGATGTGATGAGTAGCTTCAGAATGAAGCTCAATGTGGCCTAGTGATAGTCCACAAGGGAGAATTATCAACTCTGTTTTACAATCTCTTCACAAGAGGAAATCATGGACTTGGCTTTGGAGCATGAATTACTCTGTGGAAAGGCAGGCAGAGAACTGTTCCTTTACACACATTGTGCAAACAGCTTGGCAATAGTTAAACCACAGCTTCATAACAAAAGATCCTGGGGGAACATCAAGCAGGGCAGGGAGTCAGACAGAAAGGGATGATACCGGCTTTAAATGGTCGTATTAGTCTGGTGTCATGGAAGAAGCCCTTCAAAGTAAGGAAATAATGAGGAGAGGAGAATTGAGATTGGCCTGGCACCTCTGTGCTCAGAGTTAGCCCCATCTCATGGGGAGCAGGACAAGCACACAAGAGGATTCATCCCTCAGGACATCTCTGAGGCATCCAGACAGCAAGGTCACTGATGTTTTGTCATGTCGGTGTCTGCAGACTTGGCACATGGTATATGGCTGGCATTTATTCTTTTCCCTACTGCTACTTGGACAGGAAATACCTACCTGCCCAGAAAACCTTCCTGCAAAAGGATACCAGTGAAGGTTTGGAGCTGATTTTAGCTTCTTTAAGATTTGAGACAACTTCAAAGTCATGACTAGTGTGCTGGATACATATTTTATTTAAAAAACAAAGAAGAAGAAAAAAAGGAAGAAAAGAAGGGAGGGAGGGAGGGAGGGAGGGA